CATGCAGTTGCAAATGACAGAATTTCCTTCATACAGGTTTGGGGCTTAAGGTAGTGGTAGAGTATACTTAGCATATGGGAAACCCTGGGTTCAATTCCTAGCACCAAAACAAAGAATAGAATGAGTATTTTGTTGAGTATAATCATATTTTTAAAAAAATTCAACTTTTCTTTTTGTGCTACTTTTGAGGCTTGAATTCAGGGCCTATGCACACACTGTACCTGAACTTTTGTGCTTAAGGCTAGCACTCTTACCACTTGAGCAACAGCTCAAAGCCCAGGCTGGCCTTGAACTGTGATCCTCAGATCTAAGCCTCCAGAGTAGCTAGGATTATAGGCTTGAGTCACAGGCAATTGGCTCCCCACTTGTTTACATCTCTTATCCCATTCACCTTCTCATAGGCATTTTGGTTGTACATCTTTGATATTGTGACTAATGCTTCAGTGAACCATGGGGTGTGTACATCTCTTTGACATACTAACTTTCTTTCCCTGGCTATATGAAATGGGATTGTTGGATTATAATGGTAATTTTTTTTCAGTTTTTTTGAGGAACCTCCATACTATACCTATCAATGGTATACAAGGGTTCCCTTTTCTCTACATCCTTACCAACACTTGTTCATTCCCTCTTTCTTTCTTTTTTTGTTGGTTGTGGGCTTGAACTCAGGGACTGGGTGCTGTCCCTCAGCTCTTCAGCTCAAGGATAGTGTTCTACCACTTTGAGCCACAGCTTCACTTCTAGTTTTTTGTTTATTTATTTTATTTATTTATGTCGGTCGTGGGTCTTGAACTCTGGGCCTGGGCGCTGTCCTTGAGCTCTTCAGCTCACGAGACGTGCTCTACCAAGTAAGTCACAGTGCCACTTCTGGTTTTCTGGTGGTTAATTGTAGATAAGAGTCTCACAAACTTTCCTTCCGGGGCTGGCTTTGAAGAGTGATTCTCAGATCTCGGCCTCCTGAGTAGGTAGGATTTTAGGCATGAGCCCCAGTTACCCGTATTCTTCCAACTTTTGAGTGGTTCTTTGGAGATAAGGGTTTCCCCAAGGACTTTTCTGCCTGGGCTGACTTTGAATCATGATCCTTAGACCTCAGCTTCCTGAGTAGGATTACAGGTGTGAGTCACTGGTACGTGGCTCAACATTTGTTTTTATCTTTCATCTTTGTCCCAATAATTTTTTTTTCTAGACAGGCAAATATCAGGTTTTCATCACATTCTTTCCAGTTCATACTATTCCCTTCTACCATATGTCCCTGCTTTTCTGTAAGGTTAGATCTCTAGCCTTCACCAATCCAAATCCTACTTTATCCACCTACAATGCATAACTAACCACTGAGTTATAGTCTACTTATTACTCATATATTACTCTTAATTCCTTATCCAAATTAAAAATGCCCTGAGAGGACTTCAGGTCCTAGACAAGAGAATAATTTCCCTTACTTTTTTTGGCTGTTCTCTAGATTCAAGTGTCCCAGAAATAATAGGCATCAACAAAGATCCTTGAAAATTAGGGGAAAAAAAAGAGTGAACTGTCTATGGATTCAGGACTTGATGAAGGACACTAAGGCAAGCTCTGTTTTTTAAATATACAATGTCAGGGCTGGGAAGGTGGCTCAGTGGTAGAGCACTTGCCTTGCATGCATGAGGTCCTGGATTCGATTCCTCAGCACCACAGAAGCAAAAAGAAAAAAAGCCGGAAGTGGCGCTGTGGCTCAAGTGGTAGAGTGCTAGCCTTGAGCTGAAGAGCTGAGGGACAGAGCCCAGGCCCAGAGTTCAGGCCCCACAACCGGACCCCCCCAAAAAATTAAAAAAATAAAAAATAAATATACAATGTCGTCTAGAGGAGTCCTGGAGACACCTGGAATTCAAAAGCCCATCAAGCTTAAACAGGAAAAACAAAAGCAAACTATCTAAGAAAAGCTTGCTTTATGTGGCCAAAGACCAGGAAAAGAAAACAACAGAGAAACTACCAGGGAACCACACTCCTCAGTCCACAGCCATGCGATACGGGGTGTGTATGGCACTGGTGGAGTTGCTGTGGATCAACCTAGGGACAGAGAAACTTGGCCTGGCATCTCCTAGCCTTCTGCCCAGTAGCAGAAAGCAAACCAGCTAGTGACAAAAGATGATTTGGGAAAATGTCTTTCTCTCAAGCAGTCCGCCTAGATCCAAATAATGAAGCTGATGTGAATAGCACTGTAAGCATACTGACACTGCACCATCAATGGAGCTAGACCTACAAGTTAACTTTAAGCAAAGAAACTACCTACTGAGGTAGAAGATTTAAATAGTTTCAGGAGCCTTCTAGCATGTTAGAGCAGCAATATTTCAATAGCACTTATGAATTCTCTTGTAACAAGTAAAAAAATCAGAAAATTTCAGCAAAGAAATAGAAGTCATTAAAGAGAGAAATGAGCTGGGACAGGTGGCTCATGCCTGTGATCCTACCTACTCAGGAGGCTGAGATTTGAGGATGGCAGTTCAAGGCTAGCCTGAGTGGTAAAGTCCATGAGACTGTTTATTAATTTATTTTTCCAGGTCCTGGGGTTTGAACTCAGGGCCTGAGCTCTGTCCCTGAGCTACTCAGTGCTCAATGGTAGCGCTTTACAACTTGAGCCACAGTGTTACTTCTGGCCTTTGCTGTTTATGAGGTACTGAGGAACTGAACCCAGGGCTTTATGCATGCTAGTAAAGCAGTCTACCATTAAGCCACATTCCCAGTCCTCCATGAGACTCTTATCTCCAATTAACCACCAAAAAGCCAGAAGTGGAGAAGTAACTCAAGTGGTAGCAATGGCCTTATCGAAAAAGCTCAGGGACAGCATCCTGATTTCAAGCCCTAGGACACACACACACACACACACACACACACACACACACACACACACACACACACACAGCCATAACTCTATCTCTATACCTAACTCTAAACAAAACCCTGATCCTATCACTAACTGAAACTGTGTCAACAACCTTACCACTGATGTAAAGAGATTTTTTTTTTTTTGTAAGTTGTGGGTCTTGAACTCTGGGTCTGGGCACTGTCCCTAAGCTCTTCAGCTCAAGGCTAGCACTCTACCATTGAGCCACAGCACCACTTCCAGTTTTCTGGTGGTTAATTGAAGAGTCACATGGACTTTCCTGACTGGGCTGGCTTTGAACCACGATCCTCAGATCTCAGCCTCCTGAGTAGCTAGGATTACAGGCCTGAGCCACTGGTGCCTGGTAAGAAAAATTTTTTAAAGTTAAAAAAGAATGTACTCTTTAGCAAGTAATAAACTTCTTGTTAACATTCAGAAACTTCTTAACTTTCAGATCATACTGATTTTGAAAAATGGGAGTCTCAATGTCTCTAAAATGGAAAATTTACACTAAAAATGGTTTCATAAGAGTGAAATATTCTGGAGGGGTAGGATATTTTAGTAACTGCAATAGCTAGAGGCACTACTACATTTTCAAAGGCAATCTATGTTTTTGGAAAAAAAATGACTTCCTATTGAGAAATGTAGAAAAACCATATGGAAGTTGGTATTGTTTTACAACTGGGATATGACTGACAAAATAGCAATGAAGGGTTTATTTTTGGTGGTACTGGAGTTTAAACTCAGGGCTGTGCTAATTGTGTAGAGCCAAGATAGTATTTAAATGAGGTGATGGAAGACTCAAGATATTTTGGAAATTCCTACTTTGAAAACTTGGGTTTCTTTTTCCTTCCTTCCTGCCTGCTTTCCTTCTCCTCACTCCTTTTTTTTTTCTCTCTCTCTCCTTCCTTTCCTTTCTCTCTCTTCTTTCTTTCTCTCTTTCTTCTTTCTTTCTTTGCTTGAACTTAGGGCCTGGGTGCTGTCTCTGAGTTCTTTTGCTCAAGGCTAGCACTCTACCACTTGAGCTATCTCTCCATTTCTGGCATTTTGTCGTTAATTGTACATAAGGATCTCAGACTCTTCCTGCTTGGGGTGACTTCAAATCACCATCCTCAAATCTCTGCCTCTTGAGTAGCTATGATTACAAGTATGAGCCCACCAGCACTCACTGAGTTTCTTATAGTTTGCAGAATTAGCTGTCCTATAAGATTTGGAAGCTCACATTCATTTAGTATCTTAGTTAACATTTTTGTTTGTTTGTTTTGCCCCAGGCCTGGTTCAAGCCCCAGGACTGGTAAAACAAAAGTAAATAAATTAGAACGCTTAATAATTATTACTATAATTCATATACCTACCGATTGACTGTAACATCTCAATGGTAGAGGACAAGGTTGAAAATGTAAAATTAGTAGTTGTCAATAAACAAGGTTATTTCAAGCAACAAGTTGAATAAAAGTAACCACGTGAATCAATCTTCAGAAATAGAGAGCTATAGCATAGGTAAGTAGGTAGTTACCAAAAAGAGAATGTTTACTTTGTGTACTCTCACTAAACTTCCCTTTGCCAGAACTGAACGACCTCACTCTTTAATAACTAGATCTATCACACTCACCCAATTCTAACGTTGCTTTCATTATTCAGTATTGCATTAACAGTTTAAAAACCAAAATCTTTCTTTCCTTTTCACCTTCCCTTCGGGGGTAAGGGAGATAAACACTACTAAACAGTTCCTTTTACCATCGAGAAAATAATCACACCAATCTACAGGTGATTTCACCTGCAGGGTAACAGCACACCCTAAAACCTTTAAGGTGTTTTATTTTCAGGTAAGATCCGCTCTTGGGACTAACAGCGAGGAGGACCAAAAAAAAAAAAAAAATCTTCCCTTTTCCTGCATTCTTAAAAGGGGTTTGGGTCCAGAAGATTCTCCAGGCCAGTCCGAAGTTTGCAAGGACATCCTAAGTGGCACTCTGAGCCGCCCAAGTTGAGGCGGGCTGCGCTCCACCTACCCCACAGGAGAGCGCAGCCCAGCAGCCCAGCAGCATAGCGACCACTTGCTTCACCCCGCCTAAGTCCTCAGATGTCATTGCCCAAAGAAATGCCCTTGTCCCCACCGCCTGACTCTGGCTGTGATGCTTACTGGTAGTTCGCATCCATTGGAGCAGCGCCGTGCGGTCGGCTGGAGCCACAGAACCGAGCAGCTGAAGGACTGCCCGCTGAGCCGAGCGAAAGTCCATGTCGCCCCAGCCAACAGATCCGGAGGTTTGCAGTGCGCACGCGCAAGCGGACCCGACACCACCGCCCCTCCGCCCCCTCCCTAGAGCGGCGGGCAAGTTTGCACTGCGCACGCGCAGTCAGACACGGCTTATTTTACTCACCCATTCCCATCTCCCACAAAGCCCGCCCACCCGGCCTCTACAGCACGTCTTAAGCCCCGCCCCTGACGGAGTTCCCCAGTGCGCCTCCTTCGGGTTTGTCACTTTTCCTGGAGGTGGCTCCTCAAGCCCTGCCTTTTTTTTTTCCCCCAGAGACTACGTCCGGAGAGAGTCAGTCTCTCTACTAATTGCATGCTGCAATTACTCATGGATAGAAAACGAAAGCCAGAAGCCAGTGCAAGCAAAGAACCACGCACTTAGAAGCCGAACCCAAGAAAGGCAGCACTTTGCCCCGGAAGCGGAAGTGCATCTTTTCGTGAAAGGCTGGTCTACGCCGAGTGATGACGTCTCCTCATTGGGCGGAAGGTTCGGTGGCAAGTCGTCGGGCTTCCAGCTGGTGGGAGTTGGCTTCGCGGGCTGGGCGCAGGGACCCTAGTTTATGTAGTTCGGGGAGGTCGGGTTGTGGGGGCGAACCTGTCTGTCAGCTCCCAGTTTTCCCGGGTTTCCTCCTCCGGTGTGGGGCCTCGTCAAGGACTCCCCGGCCCTTTTAGGGCCACGGCGTTAGTGGTGCTTCTCCGGTAAGTATGGTTTTCCTCTCTACGGGGACTACTGAGGGGACGAGCTGGGGGCAATCACAACCTGGGTGAAGGACCAGGCACACTGGGGAGTGTGCTTCCCTCTCCTCCGACTGTCACCTCCAAGCCCCAGATGCTCTGGCTCCTCTTCATCAGTTGCACTCCCTTGAAAGTTTTCCGGGGATTTCTGCTCCTCGCCTCCTTACTGTCACCTCCGATCCCCAGCTGCTCCAGCACCTTTTTATCTGTTGCCCTCCCTCAGAAGTTTTCGTAAAAGATGTGCTGAGACCCTTTATCTGGCAGGTTTACCCAAGCCAAGTAAGATATAGGCATTTGTAACCTTGGTTTTTGATTCCTTTCCTGAACAAGAATTATATGAGGCTGGCTACTTATCTGAAAACCTTTTGATATGAACTAGATTTTACGTTCCTGTGAGTTTGTAACATTGTTAATATTTCTAACAATATTGTTAGTATTAACGATATTGACATTGTTCTGCATATTGTAGACGTTAGATAAATGAACAAGGGTATTAGTTGAGTGCCAGTGATAAAATATACTGGTGATTTTATCTGAATCGTTCGAGACCATTTATTTCTTGAAACTCTCTTACTGACTTTCTTCTCTTTGGCAGTACTGGGGTTTGAAGTCAGAGCCGGGAGCTTGCTAGGAATATGCTCTACCACGGAGTCACGCCTCCTACCCCCTTTATTTTATCCTCACCTGGTTCTTTCATATGCATAGTTTAACAAAATATTTACTATTCTTTAGCTATGGGAATGAAATAATGCAGGACAACAGCTCTGCTCTTGAGAAGCTTTCAGTTCAGGGGAGACAGGAGCACATAAATATACATTATATAATGTATATAAATAAAGATGAATAATAAGCTTGGTGCTGGTATTTCATGTAATCCTTGCTACTCAGGAGGCTGAGATCTGAGGGTCATCATTTGAAGCCATCCTCTACAGAAAACTTCAAAAAGCAAGACTGGAGTTGTGTAGCTCAAGTGGTAGAATACCTTTTTGCCTTGAGCAGAAAAGTCAAGTGAAACTCACACACACACAAATGGAGAAAAGATGAATAATGATAAAGTCTATTTAGGTATAAAGAACAACAAAATAGAGATGAGTTATTGCGCATGTTGTATTTGTGACCCTGAGCAAGTTGCTGTTTCCATGTAGCCTCAGTTTCCTTTCTACTTAGTACACTTATGAGAAGAAGATGAGGTAACATGTTTAGCATAGTACCTAGAACATAGCAATGGTGGTGCCAAACAGGAGGGAGATATTTCCCCTGTTAACTTAAATTTTTCATATGAGTGATTGCTATTTTTTTAATCTTAATATGGAGTACTATGCAAAAAATACTTCAAACTCTCCACTTAAAGAGTACCCCTGTATTCTTATCTGGACCTGCCTCTGGACTATATAGTAAGATACTAGACAAAGATAGTAATTGTTCTTCATTTTTAAAAGTTAGTTTTATCCTTTGTGCCTATGGGAGAAGGAAAGGGAATTAGTAAAACTTGTTCCTTTGGTTACGTTTCATCTTAGTTGACTCTCCCCTTTTGCCAGCCTCTTGGTCTTTGCTATAACCTATGTATTTCACAGACTCACCTTGAGAATTCTCATCTATATGCTATTTCCAAACTTTTTTCTTTAGCTTTCATGTCATGAGCAATAGTTCTGCACTTTCTGCTGATTCATTAGGTCCAAAACCAAACACACTATCTCCTTTTTCCACTATAAAATATATACACAAGTGTATATACAGAAGTAGATGGGCAGTTATTCTCAGTATGTTTGTATATGTTTGTAAGTTTTGACCCCTTGCTTACTGTTTCTTATATGTGTGTTTGGTTTAAAAAATGAAAAGTAGGGCTGGGAAGGTGGCTCAGTGGTAGAGTGCTTGCCTTGCATGCATGAGGCCCTGAGTTCGATTCCTCAGCACCACATAAGCAGAAAAAAAAAAGCCGCAAGTGGTGCTGTGGCTCAAGTGGTAGAGTGCTAGACTTGAGCTGAAGAGCTGAGGAACAGCATCCAGGCCTAGAGTTCAGGCCCTACCACCGGACCCCCCCCCCCCCCAAAAAAAAAAAAAAAAGAAAGAAAGAAAGAAAAGAAAAGAAAAGTAATTGAAATAGCCCACTGTTCAGGCATCTGCTGCTGGTGCTGCTTTTTTTAAAAAAAAAATTGTGTCTTCTTAGCCTTCTGAGTAACTAGAATTATAGGCATAAGCCATCAGAATCTGGCAACAAATTAGATTCTTTATAGTTTTGAGCCTAGTGCCTGGTCACTCACATCTTAATCCTAGCCACGGAGGAAGCTGAGATCTGAGATTGAGGTTCAGAGCCAACCTGGGTAGGAAAGTCTGTGAGACTCTTATCTCTATTAAACTAACCAAAAATCTGGAAGTGGAGCTCTACTCAAGTGGTAGCAGCATTAGTCCCCTTTCTGTTTCTATAGCTTTGCTTAATTTATCTATATTGTGGTCTGTGTTCTATACTTCATTTCTCCTTTTCTTTTTAATTTTTATTCTTTAATTGTTATAAAGGTGATATGCAGAAAAGTTATGGTTATGTAAGTCAGGTAATGAGAACATTTTTTTTTTTGACAATGTCACCCCCTCTCTCTCCCTGTTTTTTCCTCCTGTCTTCACTCACAAGTTGTATGCTTCATTTTCAACATAGCATCTAGTGAATACCTCTGCTGCATTTGTTCACCCTTTAAAAATTTTTTTTTTGTCAGTTGTGGGGCTTGAACCCTGGGCCTGGGTGCTGTCCTTCAGCTCTTCAGCCCAAAGTGAGTGCTCTACTACTTAAGCTACAGCGCCACTTGCAGTTTTCTGGTGGTTTATTGGAGCTAAGAGTCTCACAGACTTTACTGCCTTGGCTGGCTTTGAACAGTGATCCTCAGATCTCAACCTCTTGAGTAGCTATGATTACAGGATTTGAGCCACCTACACCAAACCCTTTGTTAAAATTTTATTTTGTATTAGACCTGGGTCTTGAACTCAGAGCCTGGGCACTGTCCCTGAGCATTTTTTTGCTGAAGGCTAGCACTCTACCACTTGAGTTGTAGCTCTATTTCTTGCTTTTTGGTAATAATTGGAGATGAGAGGTTCACAACTTTCCTTCCTGGCTAGCTTATAACCAGGATCCACAGATCTTAGCCTTCTGAATAGGTAGGATTATAGGTTTGAGCCATTAGCTCCCAACTTATTTTAACATTTTGAGGAATTATCAAATAACTTTCTTTAAAAACTTTACCAAGGAAGTGTCACTGTAGCAACAAGTGGTAGAGAGCTCACCTTGAACTGAAGAGCTGAAGGACAGCTCCCAGGCCCAGAGTTCAAGCCCCATGACTGACAAAAAGAAAACAAAACCAAAAACTTTACCAAGCCAACTGCTGGTGGCTCATGCCTATAATCCTAGCTACTCAGGAGGCTGAGATCTGAGGATCACAGTTCAAAGTCAGTCTGGGCAGGAAAGCCCGTGATACTCTTATCTCCAATTAACCACTAGAAAACCAGAAGTGGCACAGTGGCTTAAGTGGTAGAGCACTCACCTTGAGCTGAAGAATTCAGGGACAGCATCTAGGCCCAAAGTTCAAGCACATGACTGACAAACAAAACAAAAACAAAAAATCCATACCAGTTTATATTCCCTCCAGCAGTGTAGGAGAATTCTGATTTCTCCACGTTCTTGCCAACATTCTTTTTTTTTTTTTTTGTCAGTTGTGGGGCCTGAACTCTGGGCCTGGTGCTGTCCCTCAGCTCTTTAGCTCAAGGCTAGCACTCTACCACTTGAGCCACAGCACCACTTCTGGCTTTTTCTGCTTATATGGTGCTGTGGAATTGAACCCAGGGCCTCATGCATGCAAGGCAAGCACTCTACCATGAGCCACCTTCCCAGCCCCATCATTTGTCTTTTTGTTTATAGTTATCCTAGAATATATACAGCAAAATCTCATTATAGTGTTGATAGTGTTATTTTTGATATTTGTTTTTAGTCTAACAAAATAATTATACAATGAATAAGGTTCTTGCTAATATTTCATAGTCTGCTTTCTGCATTCAAGCTATTTTTATTATTAGCAAGCATATTTTTAAAGTTTTTTTGTTTTTTTTGGGAGTCCGGTTGTGGGGCCTGAACTCTAGGCCTGGGTGCTGTCCCTCAGCTCTTCAGCTCACGGCTAGCACTCTACCATTTGAGTCACAGCGCCACTTCCGGCTTTTTTCTTTTTGCTTATGTGGTGCTGAGGAATCGAACCCAGGGCCTCAGGCATGCAAGGCAAGCGCTCT